ATGGTCTGGAAGCATATTAAAATTAAATATACAAAATTTGAAAGGAAATTTGGAAATTTGTCCGTTCTTGGCTAACCTGACAACCCAGAAGTCTGAAAATTGGTCAGCTAGCATTGTCATCAGGTTTGAACATGTGTACCAAATTTCATATTTCTAGGTGCCCAATAAGTATACAGTGTACTCCGCTTATAACAAAGTCGGTTATAGCGAAATTCCGCATATAGCGAATGAAATTGTCTGCACGAAAGAAAAGAAGGGCTTAAACCATTAAAAGAACTCTGGATATTGCGAAGTCGGATATAAAGAATTTTCGCTTATAACGAAGTGATTTGCATGTATACATTTTTATTTTATCCGTTTATAACGAAGTTTTCTCATTTACCATTATAATTGACTAATATATTATGCATAATATATATCAAATTACAACGTGTGAATGACACAAATTTAATGATACACAACAAATAAGTTAATAATATATGTGGTATTATGCTATGCTGGGAAGCCTTACTCTTGGGATTGATGATTGTTGAAGTGGTGACGCAGTCGTGGTGGCTGAGTAAGCAAGGATTACACACAAGGGAAATAAGCCAGAACACTTGATGGGTTGAAATAAAAGGCAACTGGTTTGGAGGAAAGAAAGCTTGAGAAGAGCGGAGCGATTTTGACTTATTAATTATCTGATCACATGGCGGTGATTGACTTAGCTATGGGATGAGCGGGGAGGTCTCGAGAGCAGATGTTACCTTGTTGGGAGCGAAGGCGCTACTATTCTAGGTGTTGTTCCGATGGGAGCGAAATCACTACTGACCATTCTTGCTTCTCGATTTAACACCAAGCGTTGTCTTCTTTCCCATTGGTCGAAAGATGTCACATGACCGTTTTCTATTGGTTGACCTATTTAGGTACTGCCTCCTAATTGGTCCTTACTGAGGTCTTTGTCGGAAGACACGCCCGATCTTGTCAGGAAGTATTGGGTGTTAGTTCGACTCTTATAACTTCCGTGGTTATCAGATATGTCCGGTCCTGCTCCGGAAATATTGGGCGTCTCTCAACTTTTATGACTTCCGCGGTCACCAGATACGACCGGCCCTGTCAGGAAGTATTGACTGTACAAGTTATTAATAATTGTGCCCGCTTTAAGCCTACTTCCTATGTCTTGCTGCTACTTTCTGTCCTCCAGTTACCTTATTCTTTATTAAATCTTTGAAAGTCATACATTGTACATACATAGTGGGTCGGAGGTGCATACAGTTATATACAAATTAAGACATATACAATTTTAAAATATGCAAACATATTATAAGTATTTTTTTTACATTATTTAAACAAAATTAAATTGTTTAATAAACGCTTATATTTTATTAACGTTTACCATGGCAGGAGAACGAAAACAAACAAGAAACTCACTATCTCTGTCAGTCAAGCTGCAAATCCTAAGAGAGATTGAAGTGGAGAAGAAGAAAAAGACAGATGTTGCCCAGAAACATAATATCCCACAGTCGTCGCTCAGCACCATAATAAAGAACTCTGAGAAGATCCACCAACAAGCTCTGCATGCGGGAGAAAGCAGTCGGAAACGAGCACGTGGATCTACATATGCTGATGTTGATGAGGCTCTGCTGCAGTGGTTCAAGCAGGCAAGAAGTGCAGCGCTTCCAGTTAATGGTCCATTGCTTTCCGAAAAGGCGAAGACCCTGGCTCTTGAATTTGGATTAAAGGATTTTACTGGGAGTGGTGGATGGATCGAGCGTTGGAAGGCAAGGCATGGCATCAAGCTGCGCAACATTTGTGGAGAATCAGCTGATGTCAAAAGAAAATCACAAACTACTTCTCCAAAAACACCTGATGAGGTTGTTATTGATCTTTGTGTTGCTCTTTTGAGTTGAATAGTATATAAAATTATTGGTACAAAACATTTTTTTTTTCCAACTGCGGATATAACAAACTTCGGATATAACAAAGTGATTGTCATGGATAATGCGACTTCGTTATAAGCGGAGTACACTGTATTAATAAAAATTGATTACAAGATTTGGCGACAGACATCCAGACAGACAGACATGGAGGCAAGTTAAATGAGAGCTTTTAAATAAAAAATTGGTCCAATCTCAAAGAAAATGATACCATTAGAAAGAGCGTAAAAAGTATACCTAGAAAGCTTAACCTTAGAAGGAGTAATCGAAGGAAAATCGCTAAAAACGAACGGTTCGCGAGATATTGGCAAAACAAAATAAATTAAATTAAATATACAAAATTTGAAAGGAAATTTGGAAATTTGTCCGTTCTTGGCCAACCTGACAACCCAGAAGTCTGAAAATCGGTCAGATAGCATTGTCATCAGGTTTGAACATGTGTACCAAATTTCATATTTCTAGGTGCCCTATAAGTATATTAAATATTGATTACAATATTTGGCGACAGACATCCAGACAGACAGATAGGCAAGTTAAATAAAAGCTTTTAATAATTAATTAATCTTAATCTATATATATATAAAAATGAATGTATGTGTGTGTGTGTTCTCTATATATTCAAAAACCATACATCCGATCGCCGTGAAATTTTTGGATATTATTAGGCATATCCCCCGAAAGGTTTTCGAAAAATAATTTCTTGAATATCTTTAATATCCTCAGAGTTATTTGCAGATTTGTATCTTTAACTCGCAAGCAGCGCCACCTTGCGAAGGAGATAGGCTTAGGTCTGCCCCCCCCCCCCCCCCCCCCCCCGTCGAGAAAATGTAATCGTCCGGCCACCAGCCGGTTGGACAGTCCAAGTTCCCACCGACCAATCAGAGGGATCAAGAGGTCCTGGCGCGCGGGGGCAGAGTTGGTGACACAGCTGTGCCAAGTAGACAAGAAAAAAGCCTCGCGGGTGACCTCCGGGAACTACGTCCATCTTCCATAACGACCATGATTTTATTCAACTTATCGAGTATTTTTCAAGGGACCGGGAAAAAATGTTCACTAGATAAAACGATGATTTTGTAATGTAGAAAATTAGGAAAGACAAAATTCAGGATGACACGGCACACAGGGACCGGGAAAAATGATCACTTTATCGAGAGATTCAAATTTACGAATTTCAAATTATCAAAATATATCTATTATTTTTTAAAATATGTTTATAGAGAATTGTTTTAACAAATGTTCGTTATACAAACCTTTACTCGGGTAAAACCCGGGCGAAGCTGGGTACATCCGCTAGTCTATATATATAAAATTGAATGTCTGTCTGTGTGTACTCTATAAATTCAAAAACCATACATCCAATCGCCGTGAAAATTTGGGATATTATTAGGTATATCCCCGGGAAGGTTTTTGAAAAATAATATCTTGAATATCCTTAGAGTTATTTGCAGATTTGTAGATTTAACTCGCAAGCAGCGCCACCATTGCGAAGATGATAACAAGTTTTTTTTTTATCTATAAGTTTTATTATCACTAAGTTTATTTTCTTAAAGATTATTTATCAAAAGTAAGATTATCTCAGGATGACACGGCAATTTATTTGAGACAAGAATAATGATACAATTCAAGGCAAAGATACTATTCCTTTAACTTCCAATTACCGAGGGAACCAATTAATATTGATTTTATTCAACTTATCGAGTATTTTTCAAGGGACCGGGAAAAAATGTTCACTATATAAAACGATGATTTTGTAATGTAGAAAATTAGGAAAGACAAAATTCAGGATGACACGGCACACAGGGTCCGGGAAAAAATGTTCACTTTATCGAGAGATTCAAATTTACAAGTTTCAAATTATCAAAATATATATATTTTTTAAATAAGTTTATAGAGAATTGTTTTAACAAATGTTCGTTAGACAATCCTTTACTCGGGTAAAACCTCGGGCGAAGCCGGGTACATCCGCTAGTAATTAATAAAAAGAAAATTACCAAGGATGAGTATCCTATTTAATGTTCACGCTTCAAGCTTTCGGGTATTAACGACCCTTCTACAGGAATAATAACTAACGAATGAATCTAGATAGGTCAACTGGCTATAAACTTACATAATCTATATAGATAGTAGGCTAACAGAGTTTACAGTTGTAGAGCTTGAAGCTATCTCCTCCAAAGATACTTAACTACACATAGCCATCTATAAAAAATAAATAAGTGAAAAATGTAAATAAATTTGACTGTTTATTATAGAAAAAATATCTGGCAACACGATGGTACCAATATCGAGGCGGTACGTGCGCGCGCACCAAGGTCATTCTAATTTATTCAAAGGTTACACCTAGCGCTGCGGCGATTTTAAGATGGAACAAAAATTGAAGCAGGGGTTTTGCATAGAATTTTGTGTGAAACTCAAATATCAGCAACCGAAACTTTTGAAATGTTTAAAAAAGAATTCCCCAATGACGCCTCAAAGAGAACAACTGTTTTTGAATGTGTTGGGCTCTAAGTTGAAGCTGGACTAGATGATATAATAGTGGAAGGAAGTAGTCAATTATCCCACTACATCTGCCGATTGAAATGGATAGATTAGAAGCACGCGGAGGCAACGCGAACAACAGGCAAGTGTTAAGCTCCTTTATTTAGACTAATGGGGGAGGGAGGATAGACTGCCTGCTGGGCAGCTCGGTGATTGGCTGGCCGGAACGTAGTGGTGACGTAGGTCCTCCTCGCGGCGGAAGTAGGCATATTCAACATGTCTTCATTCCCCCACTTTGGATATGCCGTGTAGTATGCCAGTATTCAGACAATTCATAGCTGCACAAGCATTCTGTTGTGCAGTCTTTTTGAGGCCCTTGGTGAAGATGTCGGCCAGGTTGTCGTTGGTAGAGATGTAATTCACATGGATGTCTCCGCTCTCTGTTGACCCTTTCTCTTATATAATGACTAGCCGAATGACCCGGGCAACGCCCGGGGTTTACCCGATTAAATGCTTTTATTAAAACTATTCGTTACAATTATAAATTGGCGCCGTGGATGTCATTCTTGTATATTATATAAATGAGTTTTAAAAATTGTAAAAAAAAAATGCATCGGCCAGGAATCGAACCCGGGGCGCCCGCCACTATAATATATAAATGAGTTTTAAAAATTGTAAAAAAAAAAAAATGCATCGGCGGCGAGCATTCTACCACTGAACCAAAAGCAAACGGTGACAGAAGTGTCTTGCGCATTGGCGGCGCCATCGTAGCGAACCAATAGGAGAGCACCATTCCCAAAAAAAAAAGCGAGTGGGGGTGGGGGGGGGGGGCATGATTGTAGCCAACCAATAGGAGGGCGCCATTCCAAAAAAAAAAAAAAGCAAACCGTGACAGAGATGAGGAATGACGCTCTTAACTGTATATAGAATACCGTATGTCAATGTGCTTCGACCTATTGTTTTCTATGTTGTTTTTAGAAAACTCGATGTTATCTCTTTTATCACTGAATATTGTTATTGGGCGTGAGGCGTTAGTCACGCATTTCAAATTCTCTAATATTTGTGCTATCCACAATATTTCCTTAGTGGTCTGGGCGAGAGCAATGTACTCAGAAAAGTCAACATTTTGTTTTTGAGAAAAACCTCTCGCAACTAATCGCGCTTTAAATCTTTCAACGTCCCCTTTTGAGTTAGTCTTTATTTTAAATACCCATCCATTGCTAATTGGGCGCATGCCAAGTGGTAGGTCGGACAACGTCCACGTGTTTCTATCCTCAATATTTCTCAATTCATTCATCATGGCCCTTCTCCAGTACGGTGCCTCTTTGCTGTTTATGGCTTGTTTGAAAGTTGTGAGTTCGATGATATCTAGGAAATGCAGTTCTACCTTTGGCTTTCCAGCACGCCCATAAGGGTTTCGTACAATTCTTTTAGGCCTAGTTTGAACAATGTCGTCCTTGTTTACCCCCACTAAATCCTGATCACTCGTATCATCATTACGTTCTCTTTTCGCTTCAGGTTTTAGATTTATATCTCCTTCAAGCTGGTTATCGGGTTCTATCCAAATATGGTTGTATCTTTCAGGTTCATCCTCAACCTTAGGCCACTTCAGTCCTATCTTGGATTCGTCAAATTTGACATGCTTCGTCTGGATTACGTGTCGAGTTTCCGTACACCAAAGACGATAGCCTTTAGTCTGGGAAGAATAAACAACAAGAATGCACCTATTTGCTCGATTGTCCAGTTTCTTTCGCCTTTCTGTGGGGATATGGCTATATGCTAAGCACCCGAAAGCTTTTAAGTGGCGAACACTCGGTTTTCTTGATGACCAAAGTTCATCGGGTACTTTATCTCCTAGGGCGCTATTGTAGCACTTGTTTCTTATATAAGCTGCAGTGTTTACTGCCTCTGCCCAGAATCTCTGAGGGAGTTCGGCGCTGTGTAAACAAGATCTATTATGTCCAACAACACTCGATTAGCCCTTTCTGCAACGCCGTTCATAGGTGGCGAGTATGTGTTCGTTAGCTCGTGTTTGATGCCAAGTTGCTCTAGCCTAGTTTTAAATTAATGGTTGCAATATTCGAGTCCATTGTCGGATCTTAGCACCTTTAGCTTATGTCCGGTTTCTCTCTCAGCCCTAGCGAGATACGAGTCGAAGTGTTTCAGCACTTCGTTTTTATGTTTAAGGCAAAACAGGGTTATCTTTCTAGAATAATCATCAATGAATGTTAAAAAATATGCGCTTCCTCCAATAGATCTAACAGGCATTGGACCACAAATATCAGTGTGAACTAATTCTAATGGCCTTTTAGATCATATATTCCTAATTGTTTCGTGTGGCTCTTTCGTGGACTTTGCTACACAACAATCATCACACAGACTTCGATCCATGGAGGAGATCTCTAACCCCTTAACTAATTCCCCTTTTGCCATTCTCTCAATTGCGTCATTGTTTACATGACAGAATCTCTGATGCCATAGTTCTATTGTTTGTTTTTGTGAACTCTTTTGACTGTTAAACAATTCAGTGTTTGGTAAAATAACTCTACCCTTCATGACATACAATCCATTTTCATTATGTGCTATTGCAACAATTCGGTTCTCCGAATCGAAAACTTGGCAAAATTAACTATCTTTCCCTTATTTTCCATGCTCGAGACTGACAATAGGTTTCGTCGCACATTAGGGACATACAGCACATTACATAGTTTTAGGTCAACGTGGTGCTTACCCACATAGGCCTTGAACTTGATGTCGCCGCATCCTTCCGCTCGTGTAGTCCCGCTCGCTGTTAGGATCGGATCCGACGTTATTCCTTGGAAGTTGGTGAACCATTCCCTTTTGTTACACACGTGGTGAGTCGCGCCGCTGTCGATCACCCAAGAGTTGTCAGGGATGGCGCAGGATAGGGCTGTTAGCATTTCGCTTCCCGCTATCTCGTGAGTGCTACATCTCGGTGGTTGGAAATTTGGAGCTGGAGTTTTAGCCTTTCCTCTGCATGATCTCGCGATATGTCCTTCCTTGCAGCACTAGTAGCAGTTGAAATTTTTCTTCTTCTTGTCTTCCTTTCTGGTCGTTGTCCCGAACTGCAAAGCTTCATTTGTGTTATTCACACGTCGGGCCATCCGTCTCTCGTATTCTGCTAGCAGCACATATTTTACCTTGCTAGAGGTAAATTCCTTGTCTTCTACGTTGCTGAAGGTCATGATGATTCCGTCGTATGACTCCGGTAGGCCAGCAAGCATTGAATAGGCGAGGTCTTGATCTTGCATTTCTGCGCCTGCCTCTCTTAAGTGATCCGAACAGATCTTCAGTCTCCCCAAATAGTTCGTCATCGTCTCTTGTTCTTCGAATCTTATGGAGATGAACTGCTTCTTCAGTTGGAGGATTCTTGACCTTGACTTGAGTTCGTATACTTGTTCCAAGGTATCCCATGCTTCTCGTGCAGTGGTACATTCCATTATATGAATCTGTTGGCTCGGTGAGAACGTCAGTGCTATCATAACTAACGCCTTTTCTTGCTTCATGTTGAAGATTGTTCTTGAGGCTTCTTCATCGGGTGCTGGCTCCGTAACATACTTCCAGAGTTCTCTTTCGATTAGCATCATCTTCGTATTATACTTCCAGCTTCTGTAGTTCTGATCATTGAGTTTCTCGAGGGGCGTGTTGATCAGCGTCGAGGTGTCATCTTGCACGTGGTGTCTCGAATTAACCACGCTCTGCTACTTGATGTTGGGCTATAAGTTGAAGCTGGACTAGATGATATAATAGTGGAAGGAGGTAGTCAATTATCCCACTACATCTGTCGATTGAAATGGATAGATTAGAAGCACGCGGAGGCGACGCGAACAACAGGCAAGTGTTAAGCTCCTTTATTTAGACTAATGGGGGAGGGAGGATGGACTGCCCTCATGGGCAGCTCGGTGATTGGCTGGCCGGAACGTAGTGGTTACGTAGGTCCTCCCCGCGGCGGAATTAGGCATATTTAACATGTCTTCAGAATGGAATTCTAGATTTAAAGCTTGAATTGAAGATGATCCTCGTAAAGGACGCACAAAATTTCAAAGGACTGATGAAAATCTGCAAAAAATCACCGATTTGATAAAGAAAATCCTCGAACCAATTTGCTAGAGCTAGAGAAAGACACAGGCATCTTTAAAACAACGATTGGAAGGATCGTAATCGAAGATTTGAAGCTCAAAAGACTCTTGCAAAATTCATCCCAAGATTTCTCACTAATGAGAAAAAACTGTGTCGGCTTGCAACCTGTGAGGACATGTTGGAAATGACAAGAACGGATCCGGAATGGAAAGACAAGATAATCACAGGCGTCGAGACATGGGTCTATGGCTATGACCCTGAAACCAAGCGTCAATATGCCGAGTGGAGAGGTCAGGGTGAGCCTAGACCCAAAAATCCAGGATATTGAAATCCAGAAACAGGGTGTTGCTGGTCGCTTTTTTGGATAACAAGAGCATTGTTCATCACGAGTATCTTCCTGCAGGCCAAACAGTTAGTAAGGAAATGTATTTGGGCATTCTTCGCCGTCTAAGGGAAGCGATTCGAAAAAAAAGACCAGAAAATGGACTAATGGTGACTGGATCCTACACCTTGACAATTTCCGCCCTCACACAGCGCACTTGGTGACGAGTTTTTTGGCGAAAAACGGGACACAAATCCTACCTCAACCACCCTATTCCCCAGACATCGCACCAAATGACTTTTTCCTGTTCCCCAAACTTAAAGGAGTTCTAAACGGAAAACAATTTGACACCAGGGATGACATAATAGAAAAATCGCTGTTGGCATTGAAGAGCATTCCAAAAGAGGCCTATAAAAACTGTTTCGACAATTGGGAGAAACGGTGGCGCTGGTGCGTTGAAGCAAGGGGGGATTACTTTTGAAAAGTTTTAATAATTTAAAAAATATATATCTTACATTTTTTTATGGACCCAGTCCGGGAACTTATGGGACATACCTTGTATTTATATAAATTTAACCAATGCCTATAGATTCTCACCTGAAAGATTTTTTTTGTATTATTTGTTTGTGTGCTAATAAACTATTCATTTTCAATTATTTCGATTTTGGTCTTCTCTTTATTTACTAACTAGAAGAATGACCCGGCTTCGCCCGAGAAATCCCCCGAGTGAAGTATCCTTCATACTGAAAGTACATCAATAATAAATAGTAGAAGTGCCATAGAATAGCAATACAGAAGAAACACATAAACTACAGGAAAAAAAGTGTGTAATGGCAAAATTTGTATTATATTAGTGTTTAGGTATTTGATTTAATTATTTTTTGCAATCCATTTAGTTGCTTCAAAATTAATATAGTGTAAATAGACGGCAGCTTTTCCACCAAACCCCCATTAACCTTTGAAATTACCTGAGTTGAGTGACTGACTGTAAAGAATCCTGACTGCAATGCCCATCTTCTCAGTAAGAATAAATAAAAATAGGTTTATAAAAAAAAATTAATCCAAAATACTGGCATGTAAATATTTTTCTGTAGAAAAATAAAAAAGCATGTGGAAATATTAAGCAAACATATGTGTTCGCTAATGATTGCGACTGCATTTTAAACGATTTTTAAAAAGAGATTTAAACAAATAAAGGCCAGAACAAAAATTAATAAAAAATATGATATACATTATTTACATACATTCACAAAAGCAAACGATGACAGAATTGATGACTCTGATACTTGTATATTTTAATAAAA